ACCAACTGAGAGGCTAAACATAAAACCTACAAATGTGCACACTGCTGTCTTCTGAGAGTATGTACTACCAAATATCCATTCACCAGCTGCTGCACTTATGATTGTGAATGGCATGAAGAAGAGGGTCATTATGAGGTTGGCTCCTACTAGGAAGGAGAGAAATATTGTGGAGGGTTTCTTTAGTGATGATGGTTGAGCAAACGTAGCCATTAAGACACCAATATTGATGACTAGTGATATCAGGAACTCCAGACCAACCACAACGGCTAAAGCAGGCCCATTGATATCATCAGCAATAGTGAAATCACTGTTTTCATTAGTAAAAAAGAGACTAAGATTTGTTGCATTGTCATTTTCCATCTCTGCAATGTGGAGGTTGTTTATGCATGGGTCGTTGCCCAATTATAGCCAGTCACAGAATTTTACACCTGACACCATATACAGATACCATAAACATGATATCTGTACTACTTATGATCACACTATGTGGCTCATGTTCCATAGATCATAAACTCAGCATTCTTTCCATGACCTTGAGCGGAAAATAATCTTTTTAATTTTTGTTATAGAAGAAGGTGGGGCTCGTTACCATGGTAATTATAATGGACGTGGGTGGGCTCGTTACCATAGTAACAATCAGAAGGAACACATGCACAATGTTTTGCGGATCAGTGAATGAGGATTCTTCAGTTTTCTCTTCTCCGACTGCCTTCATTAGGGAAATAATACAAAAAGTAATGGATATAAACCTTACCTTTTGTTTTAATTTCTTAATGTAGGGCATACACGGTGAGAAACAGCTCTCTGTAGGCCTAACCCTATGCCACACCCTGTTAGAAAATGGCGGCCAAGTAAGTAATTGAAACTTCGTCTGTTTGTGTTAATGTCATCTCATCCTTAGAGCAATGGATCCTTACTGAGTGCTGTTACTAGCAATGAGCGTATATCAGGAATAAAATCAATTTTAGCAAAGAAGGAGGTAAAATGGTTGACATGTTCATGATGGCTGGCTAATTAACACATTACAATAAATTAAATTTTCTTGTTATTATTGTTTAGATTGATATTAATGAAGCTTCTGGTGATACTGGAGTTACTTCTCTAATGATATCCTGTCTATTAGGAAGAGATGACGTTGTCAAGTTATTACTAAAGCATGGAGCAGATACTGGACTGACTGATAGAGAACAACTGAACTCATTCCATTATTCAATATGGGGAATGGTAAGAGAGAGAGAGTGAAAAGAAATTGAATGTACATACATGTACAATGTACATGTACTGTAGCTTAGGGAGGACGAAGTCGAAGTGAATGTCTGAATGGCTGTAAATTAATTTTTTTGTAGAATATCAAGTGTGTTAAGGCATTATTGAGTCTACCATTGGTTAGTAGTAAGGATCAATATGGAAGATCAGCTCCTATGATTGCAGCACATAAGGTACATGCATACAATCAAGAGTACATAATTTATGTATATGGAATTTACTATTAATGTGTATCTAGATGATTACAGTGTACATGTACATTTATGTGCATTTTATATTGTCACTTCTCTCTTCTTTTTCTTCTTTGTTGTCTGCTTCGACTCAACTTTCTCCTTTCTTTTTCTTTCTCTCTCTCTCAGGGTAATATTCCTATATTCCAGTTACTAATTAAGAAAGGAGCCAACCTTTATGATAAAGATAACGGCAATAGAACAGTCATGCATTGGGCAGCAACCTCTGGAAATGTAAGACAACAAACAATGATGACACAACAGATACAAATTATATTATTAAGCATGTTTATGTATATGTATGTGTACATGTACATGTACATGTAAATGTAAATGTATGTGTATTTCACATGTGTTATTTATGTGTACATGTACTTTTAGTTGTCATTCCTGGAGATGTTATACAAACGTTATATACCTGACATCAGTGAGTGGTCTTGTACTGATGAAGATGGAGCTACTCCATTACATTATTCACTGATTGGAAGTAACACACAAATACTTCAGTTCCTAATATCAAAGGTAAACTACCTATGATTACTACGTAAATGTACATGTACATGTTACGTACTGTACAGTCCATGTACATGTACATGTATGCATTCAGGTTTTCCCACAGGGTTTTGGCATACTGCTGTCAGTGGATTTTTGAAGTTGCTCCAAAATTTGAGAAACTATACCCATTTACCCCGTACTAGTGCATGGTATTTTACTTTTTTTAGAAGACAGTTTTAATTTTTATAATTTTTTCTGATACATACATGTACATGTACAAATGTACATGTACATGTACATGTTTATATTTGCTTATGTTGTTAGAAAGTTTGAGGTGGTATTAAAAAGCCATGCACTATAAATGTACATGTATTTTGTGGTACTTTTCAGCTCATCAAGCATGCTATTGCTATTGCTGTTTACATGTGCCTCACTTTGCATGCTCTTTGGAAAACTCTCGACACATTATACTTCTAGTCTTCTATATGTGTCCATTTACGCTATAATCAAGTTATTAGTACATTGTACATGTACAGATGTGTACATCTTCATGTATATAATCTTATGTACATATGTACAGTATATTATCAAGCAATGGCCTGTAGTGTGCATGTTCATTGTAATTGAATGAAGGATGTGTGTCCATGTCCACACACAGTCATTAATACCAGACACCAGTGATCATACCAGCCATCCATTTGATCCATTTTGTTTTGTTTACATTCCAGTAGCATTAGATGTACTTTTACAACTGACACTATGCATGTACAGCTACATCATAATTGGGTGTGTGTGTGCTCTTGTGTAAATAATGACAATGACCTTTACAACTGGTACATGGTGTAGGTTATATACTGTATGGTACACATGTATATGTATAGCGTAGTTAATGTTCTCATATTCTAAAGGTGTAAAAGGTGTAGTATTTTATCCAGATGCACTTCGCATATTTATCATTCTTGGTTAAATACTATACTATGGTATTTTGTTATTATGGAATTTAAGATCTATTTCCTTACTAATGTGATCTGGCTATTTTGAAGGATATGCGTCATTGATGTTACATTATACGTGTTTTTTTTGATGTAGTGTAACTCAATTAAAGTTTGCATAACCTTTACCTCCCTGTTGGCAGCGAAAGTCACCTTGTCATTTAATCTATGATTTTAGAATATTAAAATATTTTAATTTTTTATTTTAATTTTTTATTTTAGGGATGTAATCCTATTCCTCCTGATACAGCTAAGACCCTATCAGTAATACACTGGTCTTGTGCATTAGGACTCACTGATCCTCTACACTGTATATTAACCACTAGTAATAATACTAATAGTGCTAACAGTAATATTGATGAGCTGGTAATGTGTCCATCATCAGTTGGTGAGCCACTTCATGTAGCAGCTAGTGTTGGATCAATGGAGCTGTCCCAGTTACTGGTAGAAAGAGGAAATGATGTAAGAAACCTGAATAGAATGACATGATTCATAGTACATGTACATACATGTACATGTGTATATAGCTGTATAGCAGCTTTAGCAATTTTTACAAATTTTAAGGAGCTTTTCAAACAAAATTTTAGGGTGCAGTTTACATTCACATGCACTGAATGGCACTTTTAATGTATTACATGTACATGTACGTGTAGCTTTTGTTAAACTGTACGTGTACTGTATGTTGTACATGTACATGTACGTTACTTATTTTTATCATTGTATTTTTTGCTTTATCTTAGGTTGTTAATAATCGTGATCCTTCCTCTGGCATGACTCCATTACATTGTTCTAGTGCTCATGGTCATCTCAATACTCTTAGACTGTTACTAACTAATAATGCTGAGGCTAATGGACTCAACCATAACAATGGACAGTAAGATTGTAATAAATATAGTTATACTGTACATGTACCTATATAAAAAACGCCATATAAAATGTAGTGGATGTACATCTACGTTTGTTTTACATGCTACAAATTATACTATAAAAAAACTCTTATCACACGTGTACTGTATATTCTTGTTTATTCATTTATTATGCACTTCATTTACAAATGCTGTTGTACATATCACACGCACATTTTATGATTTTCCCTCTCTTCTCTTCCTTTCCAAGGTCTGGTTTACATTATGCTAGTGCTAGTGGTCATGGTGAAGTATTGAAGGAATTACTAAAGAATGGAGCAGAGAGAGACAAACCATCCTCATCTAGTGACTCGTACGTTAAAATTACTTTTTTTCTCCTCTTTTTACATGCATCTTTTTTTCTTTTAGTCCTATACATTTAGCAGCTAGCAAAGGACATAAGAATATTTTAGAAATATTAATAAGGTACATGTATACACATGTACATGTATGTACATATACTTGTACATGTACATGTATGTATACTGTATAGCCGAAGATACTTATTTTTAATATTATAATTATCCCTATGTACATGCACATACATGTACATGCATATATACAGTATACGCACAAAATTTAAATTGTAATTTTTTCATGTACATGTACATGTACTGTATGCATGTACTGTACATGTAAGATCTTATTTATTACAATGTACACATATACATGTAAATTTTATCGTTTCATTTTTTCTATTATCCTCTTCCTCCTACAGTGATGGTACTTCAATTGATATAGTTAGAGCCAGTGATGGGAGGACCCCGTTACATTTATCATCACTGGCTGGCCATTCAGTGGCTGTACAGTATTTACTTGATAAAGGAGCCGACTGCAATAGGAAGGACACTACTCACGGGTAGGGAAACACCCATAGAATATAATAAGTATTACATGTACATGTACATGTAATACATGTACATGTACATGTAATACAGTATAGCATGAAATTTTAGAGGGTGTTAAATTTGGCTAATTACTAAATTTTGGTGTTTGGCAAATTTTAATTTGGTGAATTTGTGGCCATGTGCCATAATGGCTCAAAATGGTGGTTTTTTATTTTGGCGAAAGGCTATCAAAATGCCAAATTTAGTTCCCTCCAAATTTCCCGCTATACAGTACATGTACATGTACTTCAAATTTTATTCAGTCACTTCTATGAACCAATATATTTTTTACTACAGTTATACTCCATTGGATCTGGCTCTGTTGAATGGTCACAGTTCTGTTGGGGATTCCCTCATATCAAGTGGAGGTTGTACTGGTGCTGGTAGGATACATGAATCAGCAACAAAGATACAACAATGCTGGAGGAGATATGTCATTAAGGTAATGATGCACGTATGGTACAGTAGTACATGTACATGACATCTACATGTACGTATTGATACCCTATTGAAAAATACCCAAGGCTAAGCCCATGGTTTTTTTCAAAAAAATGACTCCATAATTACTCCCAATTTTTATTAATTTTTTTGATGCATAATATTGATGTCCTTATGCTATGTAGAAAGTTTGAGTTGTTTCCGACAAATAATTTTCGAGTTATAAGCATTTTTAAAAATAGGCCAAATTTTGAAAAATACCCAAGGCTTTACTTTACTTTACTTTAAATAACTTTACTGTATACAAATGTATACAGATGGACAGCCAGCTTCCTGAGCTGACCGCCAAACAAAAAAAGATTAAACAGATAGAGAGAGAGAAAAAAAAAAGAGAAAATAAGAATAGTAAATAAGGAAATAATAAAAATAAAAATAAAATGAAATAACTACTAACATAAACAAATCAGGAATACATAGAGTTTACAGGAAGATTGGCACAAGAAAAGCAAGGACATACATAGTGATAAGAACAAACATTATTAGGGTCAAAATGAACAATAAAGTGATTCCAAAAAGTTTTCTTTACGTGTAATTTAATAGTTTCTTTAGAAAGAGAGATTTTTACAGGTGGAAGAGAATTCCATAAACGAGGGAAGAGGGTGAAAAAAGTGTGATGTGAGAAGTGATGAGAAGTAAAATTAAAAGATAACTTGTGAAATGTAGATGATCGAGTAGAGGTAGACGAAAAAGAGAAATAATTTGAAGCATTAAAGTTAGAAGGTGAATCAGAGAAGTGAAAATTATTTAGCTATAGCCATGGTTTTTTCAAAAAAATGGCTCTGAAATCATCTCCAATTTTTATTAAATTTTTTGATACATATTGATGTCCTTATGCTATGTAGAAAGTTTGAGTTGTTTCCGACAAATAATTTTCGAGTTATAAGCATTTTAAAAAATAGGCCAAATTTTGAAAAATACCCAAGGCTATAGCCCATGGGTTTTTTAAAAAAAATGGCTCCAAAATGACCCCGAATTTTTATTAAATTTTTTGATACATATTGATGTCCTTATGCTATTTAGAAAGTTTGAGTTGATTCCGACAAATAATTTTCGAGTTATAAGCATTTAAAAAAATAGGTCAAATTTTGAAAAATACCCAAGGCTATAGCCCATGGTTTTTTCAAAAAAATGGCTCCAAAATGACCCCGAATTTTTATTAAATTTTTTGATGCATATTGATGTCCTTATGCTATTTAGAAAGTTTGAGTTGATTCCGACAAATAATTTTCGAGTTATAAGCATTTAAAAAAATAGGTCAAATTTTGAAAAATACCCAAGGCTATAGCCCATGGTTTTTTTCAAAAAAATGGCTCCAAAATGACCCCGAATTTTTATTAAATTTTTTGATACATATTGATGTCCTTATGCTATTTAGAAAGTTTGAGTTGATTCCGACAAATAATTTTCGAGTTATAAGCATTTTAAAAAATAGGTCAAATTTTGAAAAATACCCAAGGCTATAGCCCATGGTTTTTTCAAAAAATGGCTCCAAAATGACCCCGAATTTTTATTAAATTTTTTGATACATATTGATGTCCTTATGCTATTTAGAAAGTTTGAGTTGTTTCCGACAAATAATTTTCGAGTATAAGCACTTTAAAAAATAGGCCAAATTTTGAAAAATACCCAAGGCTATAATAGCCCATGGTTTTTTCAAAAAAGTGGCTCCAAAATCACCCCCAATTTTTATTAAATTTTTTGATACATATTGATGTCCTTATGCTATGTAGAAAGCTTGATCTGTTTCTGACAAATAATTTTCGAGTTATAAGCATTTTTAGAAATAGGCCAAATTTTGAAAAATACCCAAGGCTATTATAGCCCACGGTTTTTCCCAAAAAGTGGCCCCAAAATCATCCCCAATTTTTATTACTTTTTTGTTATACATGTATATGTACATGTATGTTCTTATACTACTTGTACATTTACAGTATGTACTGTACATGCCAACAACTTTGAGCTAATTTTGAAAAGAAAGTTTGGTACATATTACATGTACATGTACATGTACATACAAATGTACATGTACATGTAACTCAAAAATTAGCATCTACATGACATCTTTGCTCCACTATTGATTAATTATTATTATTATTTTTAATTATTTTTGTAGCGTCGAGAGTTTGTCACACGTGATTGGGCTGCCAGAAAAATACAGTACCAGTATCGGTCCTGGTCGGACAAGAAGAGAGCAAAGAGAGTGAGGCGACTGAGGGAGAAGAGAAGAAATGAAGCTGCTCTTATAATCCAACAAAACTGGCTAACATACATCAGCATTAAAAGAAAAATGGAACAATCCTACCTGGCACTGAAAACTAAACTTAACTAGTAAGTGAGATACATGTACATGTACATGTAGGGACTAGGGAGTGATAGTGTGGTGAAAGCAAGGAAGTGACATGTACATGTACATGTACAGTAGATCCACATGTACATGTACATGTACATGTACCTGTTACATACACGTACATGCACAGGCACATGTACGTATGTACATAAGCATGTACAAGAGCCAATGTATGACATGTATGCCTTATTTGGTCACCCTCTATCCCTCTCTCTTAGTGAATACATCACTACTCAGTTAGTACTGGCTCAGCTAGAACAGCATTCTAAAAGCATAAACCTACCCCCATCAGTCACTAGTAACCCCACCAGTACCACTAATGATACTAAACACACTCCTCACTCTCGCTGTCCAACTGCTGGCCATATCCTCAAGCTATCCTCTATTGGTAATGAGACACCAAGGAAACCACTATTGAGACCACTACCTGTTGTAAGGACTGTTTCAGAACAAACCGACTCTGCCAATAGATTAGGCATTCTTAAATCTAGCAAGTTGCAAACTCGTACTCATACTTCAGATCCTCATTCTACCAGCAATAGAGAGTCTCAGCATGTAGTGCAGTTTGTTGATGAAGGACAGGGTTATTCTAGTCTCAGCAAATCTGTATCGTCTCCTCTCTTCCCTTCAGTATCATCAACTGGTGGAGTATTGCCATCAGAAGGCACTAAAATCAACTCTAGTGAATCATTTGATGTTGATAGACTCCCAGCATTGAAGAAACCAGTGACAGGCTCTTCACAGAAACAGACTCAAAGTAGGAGAGACTCCCTACCTTTGCTGCCACAGTCTTCCTCTATAGTAGGGATTGGGGGTAGCACAAGACAAGATTCATTGTCTAGTGGTAAAAGGATTAAGAAGGATTCATCGTTATCATTACCAGCAGTGAATGGAAGTAATGCTGTAAAGAAGAGTAACCCAAAGAGACAAAAAACGGAGCATGGCAGATCAAGCAAATCTCAAAAATCAAAAGTAAGTAGCTCCTACTTAAATCTAATTATTTTTACATGTAAATATTAATATAATATATTTTATTAATGTTGATGTTTTTAGATATCGCCAGAGAGAGAGTCATTGTTATTGAATCATGCCGAGAGATACAGTAGACTCCATCAAGTTATGGAGCTACTCCAAGAAGCTAAAGAAAAACAAAAGTATATGAGAAAGAGAGGAATGGAAGGAGAGAATATGCATTGATTGTATATACATGTACATGTATACGATACATTCTATTTCTCTAATGTACTGCTCAATTAATTTCAGGTCTTCATCAGTGGATGATGGCAATAAAGCAGATTACAGAGAATTAAAGATACAGATACAATCAACACTGGAGGAGGCAGTTAGACTGAGAGCAGAAACTGAAACACTCTCTGGGAAAATATCAATAAAAGAATAATAAATTACCACTGTTATAATGACTACATGTATTATTATTATTTTGTTATCAATAATGCAAAAGTATATTCATTGAATGCGTGGTTCTGTTACCTTGGTTACAAGCAGCTACATCACCTTGGTTACAAGCAGCTACATCCATCCCATGGCGGTAGCGGGAAACCAATGACTCGATGACTGGTAGCAAGAAGAAATTCGCTGGAGCTCCTTTTGGGACTCAGAAATCAAGGCTAGCAGCATGCAGTGGCCTGCTTTTAGTAATGATAATGATGATACTCCTCTTTCATGCGTAGGTTTGACATTTCAGCCATTCATCCTAAGAGCAAGAAGCCAGGAACATTCACACAAGTGGCCTACTGCAAGAAATCTAACACTACAGAGGTTAGAGGTAGCGGAGAGAGTGGGGAGAGTAGGAGCTGTAGTAATGAGGGAGAAAGAGTGTTGGAGGTGAAGGAGGGAGTAATAAGCAAGCTGTTTTATTACTCTGTTCAGTCTTTAGTCATTGTGTTGTAAATCCTAAGTTGTAGCCTGTATTTTTTTGTACAGAAAACATTACTGGGTCCAGGATGCTATAGGCTTGACTTGGGAGACTTTAGTGACAGGAATGTACGACTCCGAGCTATGGGCCCCAACTGGAAGAGAGCGTTTGATTCTCTTAAACTATCAGCCATTCCTCACATGCTGTACAGAGACCAATGGGAAGAGAAGAAACAACTGGTAATGATACAGTACCTTCAGTTGGCTTGCAATGTGTGACTATACACCATTGAAGTGTGAATTAATGTGAATTAAGATTAAGTGTAAAATTCAAAATAATTGTGCAAACCTACTAATTTGCATGTACAGTAAGTGTAAGTACATGTACATGTATACAGTACATGTTATTAAGTGTACATGTACATTATTGATGTACACATACTTTTATACTGTGTACATATACTGTTTATTTGATGTATACATGTACATGTAGGTTCACCAGCTTGATCCTGGTACATGTAGATTCAAAATAATTATGCAAATCTATTATGTAATTGCATGTACATGTATGTACATGCAATTACATGTACATGTACATGTACATGTACTTGTTATTATTGTACATGTACATGTACTTTTATACACTGTTTATTTGACGTTTAGGTTCTTCAGCTAGGTCCTGGTAGATATTCTTTAATGGATTTCATAGAAACCAGTAGATCAAGGCCAGGGAGCAATAGAGGAGTATGTGAAACAAAAGGGCCTAGATTCTCTGTAGAGAATAAAGTAAGAATCTAAATACTAGCACACTGTACATGTACATGTACATTTATGTACAGTACATGCATGTGAGATAAATAAATGAATGAAAATGTAAAGCATACATTACATCTTGTACATGTACATGTACATGTACATCCATGTGTTCCTGCAATGTTGAGCTAATTAAGTGAGTTTATTCATTTACAAAAACCAAAATTGTTTTTCATAACTGTACTGCACATACAGTATTTACAGTGTATCTCCCTAATAGCAGTGTTTTTAATAATAATTCATTGTTACATGTACATGTAGATGCAGGCTGATATTCCTGGTCCTGGTACTTATGGCAAAGGAGGGGTCCCTTGGGCAATGATGGAGAGCAAGAGCAAAAAGTCTATGTGCATGACAGGAATGATGGAGGGAGGGACTGGAAGGAGTTGGGATTCATTTAAAGACAAGGTAAGGTACATGTACATGTACATGTACATGCATACTTAATTCTCAGCAACAAAGATTACAACAAGTACTGTAAATGTAATGTACTCTTATTATAGGGTTCAGGTCTACCCCCAGGCTGTTATAAGTACAGAAAACCAATTGACGAGGCTGTTCAGAAGATGGTGGGTAATAGAGGACCATACGACTTGTGTACTGGTAAGAGGATACCAGAGAATAAAGGAGTACTCAATACGGCACATATGGGGCCTGGACGCTATGAATTAAAGTCATTCACCAATGAATTCAATGGTAAGTTTTACATGTACATGTACATGTATGTACATGTACATTTACCTGTATGTACATGTACATTTACATGTACATGTACATGTATATCAAGTATATATACATGTACATTTAAACTTAAACTATTCTTCTCAGTTATGCATTATTTGCTCAATCGTTTGTACTTTTCTATAGACAATCATCATAAAAGACATGGTCGGTTTGGCTCTATTGCTCAGTATCCAATGCCACCGACTGAAAGGATATATTGTGCCACACTCAGTCAGTGGCCTCGTAACAAAGTAAGCAATCAACTTTAATATCATGACATCTGGAAAAACAATGCGTGTTTTGATAGGATGATCCTAGTCCTGGCTATTATGAATACTATAAGAAAAGAGCATACTCAGCTCCAAGCTATAAGTCGGTCGCATTTGATTCCTCAGCTAAAAGATTAAAGAAATTACTATTTGTAAGTACAGTACATGTAGAATGCTTTGTACATGCACATACATTATAATATAGAGAGGCCATTTAAATCCCAAGGAATGATCTTTAGCTTTTAATTCATTTTCCTATGTAGAATCCCATTGGTCCAGGGCAGTATAATACTGATCGCTGGGAGAAGGCTCAACATGTCAATGGCATGACATTCGTCTTCAAATCCCACCAGTCTCGGCTCCCTTGCGTCAACTCATCACGAGAGGACCTCCTTAATGAAAGAATACACCCAAAGCACGCAGATGAGGCTGGCCACCTTAGTATAGTACCAGTTGAGGCACCGTGTTAGCAGCCAGACCTTTTGACATCATGCAATTGTTGTTTTAAATTAACTCAGGCTTATAGAGTCATTGACTGGCTATAGAATCAATAATAATGGATTAATTTTAGTTTCATTGTGACATTATTTTGCAATACATTATAGTCCTCATTGTTTGGTATTAATACATGTGCAGTATGCTACACAAATGTACACATCAGTAGCTATTGCATACATAAATCAATAAAGGTATTCTAGGCTAGTTAAAGCAACACACAATGATAAACTGCATGATAAGTTTATTGTTGATGTTTTGAGTTATCAATAAAAAATGAAACTGAATGTTAGTAATTTTGTGTATGTGTGTGTGTATGCGTTAAGTATACACCAGAGGATCACATGACTTACTGTTAGTTTCCCTTCTCTAACTTTCAACAATTTATGGCTACTTCTAAACTCTCCAGTAGATATCGGTTAGCTCTGTACATGTATGCAAATTTGCTTAATAGTATTCTTCATTAGTACATTCAGCCCCACCTTTCTTCAAGGCAGATCTTCTCTTCGTAGTAGAGTGCCAGTTCCTACACTACTGGGACCAAATATGAAGAACAAGAAAGAGTTATTACTAAGATTCATTATCACAGTGAGTATGAGCTTATTGATAAAATGCATTACTTTAGTTATTTGTCATTTTAGTTGCTGTCTGTTGGCTCTTTGGCTTCTTTTTGTATTGTCATTGTGTTGAATAATATGATAGAAAATGCTAGTGGAGGGATTTATGGACTTGCAAATTCATTATCATCGTGTAATGACACTAATGGCACTTCATCGCTACCAATAGAATTGTATCATAAAACCATTCACATCTCTCTTATGGTATTCTGTAGTATTTTCATGCTACTTGTGATATTAGCAATCATATATCAAATGATTGTCATCATATTACAATCGTGTCAAATAAATTTTAAGTATCTATATTCTACGGTAAGACTTCATTATAATGTCGGAACACAAAATTATATTTGACACCAAAAGTGAAAAACTGACAATTTATTATTTCTGTTTTCTCTGTAGGACATCTGTATTAGTGTTTTTTTAATGAGTGCTTTCATTTTCGGGAGCATTGTGTCATTCTTTGCTGCATCATGGCTGTGGGGGATACTAGTGGAAGGAAATGGCACAGATGCCTCTAATAAGTCAAATATGATTGGATTGATCATTACCATATTCATTGCATTTGTAAGCTTGCACGCTATTTTGTGAACTTTATTCAAGTGTTTCCTTTTTTAGTGCTTATTCATTGCCATGTACAACTGTTATTTCGTTACTTGCATTCTAACGGTCTCAAAAGTATCAAAGGATCGCTTCAAAAAACAACTGCTTGAAGAGCAGCTACAAACTTTTATTAACAATTGAAATTAAAACATAATAAAATTATAAATTTAACATTAAATTTCTTAATCTCATTCTGACTTTATTGCTGGGAACGTAAAAGGTAATGAAATCAAAAAAGAGAGTGAGCCAAACAAACATGGTATCAACATGAAATAGTTGACATCTCCCATAGCATCAACAACAGGCCCAATGACCAGTGATGCTATTATTTGACCTGTCAAAAGTGCAGTATTCATAGTAGCTACAGCTACACCTTCAACCAATGGTGGTTTATTAGTCCATTCTTTTCTAAAGAGCTTGTTTGTTTTCTGAAAAATAAATAATTATGTATCAGTGAAAAACAGCCATTATAAAATTCACTCACTTGGTACATTGGAATGATGGCAAAAGGTACAGTGAGAATAGTACCAAAAAAAGGCCCATACATAGCAGCTAGTATATACACTTGATATAACTCCCTGCAATACATCAGTAAGCATAGTGCACAGACAAAGGCTGCTATTGCTATCAGTAGTACAGTTTTGAGTCGAATCCAACGAGTGATATAATCCAGTATAAGTGACATCACAGAACAGCACACTGTTGCTATTGCTAATCCAAGTGATCCCATCCTAACTCCTTTAGTGTATAAGTCATAAGATTCCGAACCTTCTGGACTGGATGAATCCCCTTTGTATACTGCTAAACCAACGAATGTTGTAAAACCGTATACAAAAGAAAAATCTGAGGCAAATGCAAATACTGACATCAACCATACAAACCACATATCATAAGACATGTAGTATGCAAACTTTAAAACACCAATAGTAGACTCAGCAAATGTCTTGCAGATTTTGTCAGATCCAGGGAGACATTTCTTTTTTGGCTTGTCAGACATTAGAGTCTGCTTTTCTGCATCTTCAGATCTCTTTTCATTAAAGGCTGTCTCCTGTTCAGGAACAGAAGTAGCACCGGTCGATTTAATATGAGCCTCCAATACTGATGGATTCTGTTCCTTTACACTCAAAATAGTACAAATCATTGCCATAATAAATACGACTGAAGTGAGACCAAATACAATCTGTGATTGATGCTCAATGCTAATGCTAGTGCTAGTAACAACTGACCAGTCAACAGCACCTAAACCAAATCCCAAAGCAGCTCCTACACCTACTGCAACTGATATAATGAAATTACCAGTTTTACTCTGAGAGACTGGGACAACATCTAATAGGTATGCTCTTGTTGGTAGCATTAGTAACCCACAGCTGAAATCCAGTAGAAATACACAAACTACTATGACAATGAGTTTCAAGGAAAAAGTGTCAATGTAGTAGCAGTAAGGAAGTGGGCCAAATCCCAGCACAGCAGTCAGAGAGAACAATACAATAAATGGTCTACGTCTGCCCCAACTGCAGGTGCATTTATCACTGACTGCTCCAATGAACCCTTGAAATAGCAAGCCCATGATAGGGCTCAATGTTATTAAGACAGTAGAGAGGGTTAAACTGAGACCTGAGGCTACCATGAAAGGTATGATATAAGCTCCTTCAACTGCGTATCCAAGATCAAGTGCTCCAGTCGAAGCACTGAGGAGAAACAAACGCCAAAGAGGTACTTTAGCTCTTTCTTCCTCCATTCTTAATGAGCCACTCCCCTAATTGTGTCTTAGGCGTGGCTGTGAATTGTTTCACACCCCAAGTGGTGTCAAGTAAACATGAATTTTAAGGAGAAGAAGGTAGCCCTTTGGCGTCTGTTTCTTCTCAGTGCATCGGCCGGTGCTGTTGATATGGGCTATGCAGTCGAAGGAGCTTACGTTGTACCACTGATGGTAGCCTCGGGTCTGAGTCTAACGCTATCTACTGTCCTGATATCACTCAGCCCTATCATGGGGATGCTGTTTCAAGGGTTTATAGGGACAATCAGTGATAAGTGTAACTGCAGTTGGGGTAGGCGTAGACCATTCATTGTACTATTCTCACTGACTGCTGTGCTGGGATTTGGTGCTGCTCCTTATTGTTTCTACTTTCATAATCTTGGGTTACACTATCTGGTTATCATTGGTGTGGTTGTCTGCGTATTTCTATCAGATTTCAGCATTGGAGCACTCCTGCTACCAACAAGAGCATATCTATTAGATGTCGTCCCAGTCTCTCAGAGTAAAACTGGTAATTTTATTTTCTCTGTTGCAATAGGAGCAGGTGCAGCCTCGGGGTATGGACTGGGAGCTGTAGATTGGTCTAATATTCCTAGTTTAGGCCTAAATGCTAACGTCGTTAATCAAACTAAGATTGTCTATGGGATAACTACAGTAACTCTTTTTATAGCAATGCTCTGCACTATTGCAAGTGTTAAGGAGCAGAATCCGTCGTTGTTGACATCTCAAGAAAAACAAATCAATGCAGAAACTGATACTTTACTAGTATCTACTATTGGGGAAACTAGCTTCCCCACTTCATCTGGTAATCTCTGTAAAACGTTAACAGAGTCTACTATAGGTATTTTAAAATTTGCATACTACATGTCTTACAATATGTGGTTCTTATGGTTGATGAGTGCGTTAGCAATGGCAGCTGATTTCGCCTTTACATTTAGTTTCAGCACATTCGTTGGTTTAGCAGTATATGAAGGAGATTCATCCAGTCCAGAAGGTTCGGAGTCTTATGACTTATATACTAAAGGAGTTAGGATGGGATCACTTGGATTAGCAATAGCAACAGTGTGCTGTTCTGTGATGTCACTTATACTGGATTATATCACTCGTTGGATTCGACTCAAAACCGTACTACTGATAACAATAGCAGCCTTTGTCTGTGCATTAGGTTTGCTCACATATTGCAGGGAGTTATATCAAGTGTATATACTAGCTGCTATGTATGGGCCTTTCTTTGCAACGGTAACAAGTGTGCCATATGCCCTTATCCCTATGTATGAAGTGAGTTTTCATACTACTAATAAATGCTTTTATAATTATTTTCTTCATTGTAGAAATCAGGCACACTTTTTAGGAAGGAATGGACAAACAGACCACCAATGGTTGAAGGTGTAGCTGTAGCTACTTTGAATACTGCGATATTTGCTGGTCAAATAATAGCATCACTGGTCATTGGGCCAGTTGTTGATGCTGTGGGAGATGTCAACTATTTCATGATAATACCATGTTTCTTTGCAGCATTATCATTTTTAGTCACATTACCAGTTAAATCAGAGAGTTAGATTATATATTGTTTTTATATTTATTATTAAAGAGAAAGATTTTATTATTTATGATTTACTATTTAGTATCAAGTATCATTGGCTGTCAAGTGTCGTGGGAGTACATGTAGGTTCTGTACCAGCAAATTACTTGTACTAACCAATCCTCTTATTGAATTTATTTCCGTCTACAAGAAAGTAGACTAGCTAGGAGATGGGACTATGTAATAATTTAGATTTTCAAATGCTGCAATGATCTTCTAATCATTAATGAATCATCAGTAACATTTTAATAGACAATTTTGACACAAATACACAATCAAATGCTATTGCAGTTGATTCTCCTAAACAAGCACCTCCTGGAGCATTTCATACCGGTATTATTGTTCCTATCTAAACAATGCATCACCTGAGAGTCTGAGACATGTAATTACATGTATTTATCAATAGGTGTGTTAATTGGGGTGAGTAAGATAGCCCCATCCCACAACACAAAATCACACACCCATAGTACATTAATCAGTAGGTCTATAATAGATTTTGATATTCCTCATCATCAATACAATTGCATGGTCTTACAATCCAATGTACATTGTACATGTAAATGTTTGTGTACATCGTAAATCATTTCATTTATAGTAATTTCTTTGTCAAGCATGATTTTACTTTTTACAAATAAATGATAATAAATCATTGAAACAAGATAATGATCCTAGGAAATAGCAATTAAATGTGCATTAGGCAGTGTTTTATTGTTTACTGATTTTTAACTACCAATAAGTCGTAGACTGAGATATATTTTTGCAAATTTTTCAATTTTATAGTCTTTGAATGTCATATCATCTGCAAGCTGCCTACCTTCATAAAGAAGCCTTATATGTTCGTAAGGAATTCCCTTAAGCTTTGTTATTGCGTCCTTCAACTCAATGATACGTGTCTCATAGAAGGAATCTTCTGAGATATTACAAAAAAAATTAGTCCTTAGTATTGTCACGATGTGTACTCCACATAAATGAGCATATCGATCAGGACGAAGCTGCAATCGAATAATAATTTCAATGATATCTGATGCATTTAATCTTTTGAAGGGATCATCTTGAAGGCAATTCATAGCTACTGGAATCAATCTATGATCTAGTACTGGCTTAATATATTTAGCTCTCCTGTTCCATTCTGATATTTTAACATAAGAGCCAGGGTCGTGTGGCTTTGGCTCATATTGATCAGTTGGTACAATGATATTGCCAGTGAACATATGTAGAATAAGACAACCAAAGGAGAACACATCTAACTTCTTGTTATAGACAGGATTATGAACAAGAGCTTCTGGTGGCATCATGAAATGATTGCCAGGGGCTGTGGTGTAATGATGTTGCTTTAATGCGTCACCAAATTTAGACATACTCAGGTCTGTTATCTTTGCATTGTGACCAACAGTGAGGAGTATATTGCTGGCCTTGATGTTACGATGAATGATTGGAGGCCTCTTTAAGTGAAGATAATCGAGTCCATTAGCAACATCAAGGAGGATCGCTTCTTTATTAATAGCTACTCTTCCCTCTATTAGCTGCAGCAGAGAATAAGGAAGATACTCCATTACCAGCATTGGTAATGGTGCGGAACCACTGGGATAATGAACACCAAGCAACTTCACAATATTGGGATGATGCTGTTGTCTGTGAAGAATGATCGCATTACCAAACTCACTTAACAGGCTATCTTCCTATTATTGAAATGAAATAATCTAATTGCTTTAGTGTAGAGTATTTTACCATGGCTAACAAATCATTTAACTTCTTTCCTGCACATTGATTTCCATTGACTCTTAGTTCATTGACAACTCCATATGATCCACGACCCAACTCTTTCCTTGTCACCCTCACTCTTTGTAGTATCAGAGCATAGGCGGCTGCAGGGGCAGGCATTAAAGGCAATGCCCTACTAAAGTCTATTCACTTTCACCTGACCTATTGATTTTTTGTTATAACTTTTGATAAACATGGAATTTAGAAATTTTGTTTGCACCATTAGAATCGCTAGGTCCTTCCCGTCCTTTAGATAAAAAGATCGGGTCAAAATGATAAGGCCTTAGCCTTTTTTGGATGTCCCTGTATAAACTCAATGACATACCTTTGACCACAACTATGCAGCTAGAACAGCCAGATTAAATTCAGCTGCTACTTTCTGCATCCCTTCCGCGCAACAAAAACAATTCCAAAACCACAAATACGTAAAGAATGCGGATGTGACGTAGTTATTTCTTAATTGAAAAAAGCCAGGGGTCAGGTGAAAGTGAATAGACTTTAGAATTTCTTACCGGAAGATGACGTCATCATAATTGGCAGTTAATTAATAGTTATTTAGTAATTATGACATGGTTAATTCATCATTATAGCTAATTTTAATGACAAAAACTACATTATTTTGCTGAACAAAGTGATAATTAGTAGAGAATAAGCTTCTAACTGCATGGTCTATTCACAGTAAGCTTCATAGGCCCATATCTATGGCCACTCAGGAAGACATAATCCACAGTAACCTGCAGCTAGAATAACTGACTCTTTCATATAGCAGCTTCATTATTAATCATCATAGTCAGCTAGGACTCATTGAACAGCTAAATCACCTAGCTACTGATACTCTAGATTGAAAGAGGTCTTTTAGGTACTGAATTTTCTCCTCTTGAACACAGGAATGGCAGGGTAACTCTTCAATGAGAAGTTCAGAGCCTTTTTCAACTGGATTGTGTCACTAAGTGCTGAAATAGATGTCTTCACAGACTTAAACTCAAGAGCAAGACATGTGGGTGTGGTTATGGCCACACCTACTTTTTGACCACTCCCACTTTCAGCCACACCTTTGCCCTACTTGCAGTGAAATCCTGCAGCCGCCTATGTATCAGAGGTTGAAGCTTCACCTGTAGCTCTGCTGCCATTTTGTGTCTGATACTCTGATTGTGTTCACACCAAATTCACCAATGCAGTTCATTCATTTCATTTATGGGTGGGGTACCATCTGGTTAACTTAGATTTATTATTAGCATTATTATAGCACACTACTTTTTCTTTATTTTTAAGCTAAGTTTTTGCACATCATTTATTAATCAAATTGTACATATACATGTATAAAGAATAAGTATAACAATGACTAAATTTGCCCTAGAAATCACATTAATGTAGTTTCCTATCACTTCATGAGTTCATGTTCCTTCACAGTCTTTAAAACTTAAAAGTCTCATCATCACTAAGGTAACACCTTTATAAAATAATAGCCTCATTCCATCCTTATCCTTATTCCTTAATATCCATTAATAATGTGGTGATAACACTGGCAGTTTTAGTGGGGGGCCTGGAGGGCACAGGCCCACCCTGTTGGCAAAATTCTCAGTAATTAAAGCACTAATATTTTTAATTTAAATGCCTCCCAAGCCATTCTTGACTGACTCTTCTCTATATTATAGTGCCCTTTCCTTTATATAGTGCCCCCTCTGTTTCATTGACCTGGCACCATCACTGGGTGATAATATTAGTACTTTAATAATTTATATTGTTTTATCATGATCTACAATATTCTTTACTGAGTGTTGTATCAAATTATTTCAGCTCTACTGATAAGTCTCAGACTGGCATTAATCAGTGAATAAGACAGTCTCTGTTGCTCCTCATCAGTCCACTACAACATACAGTTATACATTAATAGGTCTGTACAGTGGTATGAACTATACCATCACAGTGAGAGCTGGTAATGCATATACTGGTCTCGGATCTGATCCTAGTTTAGTCAATAAAGGAACACTTGTATTTAAGTTTTAAGTCATAATTATTATAATTCACACATGGTATACAGACCCATAATGATGTACCTCATCCTGTTTTTTTGCCTTTATTACTAGTTTACTACCAATTATTAATCTTACTTGGAATTGTTCTCAAAGTAGCTAATAGTCTAAATACATGCTACAGGACATTATTATCAATAAAGGCAGTATCACACATAATACCACCATTACCTACTGAGAGATAATTATGTTGAATGATCTAGTATAACATCAGTGTAGGTGTTGTCAATTCTGTTTGAAAGTACCTAGCTGGTCCACTTTGTTATCCATGCAATGTCCATATGGAAAATGGACTGTTATTGTTAATGGACCCTAAAACTGCCACAACCATGTTAGTAGGTGTATTGTGTATTTTACAAACTTTCAGTGTTCTTATTCATAACATTGGTTTTATAAGGTACAGTTTAAGTACATTTTTATTGTTTTTTTTAGAAGGAAACATCCAAATACTATAATAAAGCAAAACAAAGATAGTTTATTCTATTATGATTTGCTATTACCAAAATATTGATGATAACTGCAAGCCTGTGAACCAATATGAAATTAAAATGAAGGAGTATATTTTGAATGTCAAACATCACCTGAAGATATTTATGAATTATCCATTACCAGAATGAATTTTCTACAACAGTGTAATACTATCTGTTAGTTTGCCTGAAATAGAAAATACTGACGTAGTTTGTGTACACTGAACTCTTCCTCACATTAGCTTAATATTATATTAAGCATTAGCTATATCTATAGTTAATTTTGGAGTTGTTTCACACAATTTGGATGTTGTGTTAGCGTGTATCATGTAATTTCTACATTAGTATTATCATAGTCAAAGTTTGCTTATCATAACTCTCTGAGTGAAAAGTGAAAACAATAAACAAATGACATAATGTACCACAGTGACCACACGTATACTCAGCAGTTTTTTCTCTGAAGATGGTTTCATTGCTATTATTCTCTACTGTCTTTTTGTTGAGTGTGAATAAAGTTATTAGTCAATGTCCACCTTCCTCAGGTAAGACACTGAATATGAGTGTAACACTTCAATAGGTTTAAAAGGTATTTATCTGAAGTATGATGGAAACTGTTATTCCAATGGGTCATATTTTTGGGATGAAAACATCAAACCAACTCCTTTAGAGTGTGGATTACCTGGTGCTACTATGGATGATGGGCAATGGATTGGTCCTAATGGAACA